CCTCTCTGATGAAACTTGCCAAGGAAACCCCATGATAGGTTTGCCTTAAGGTTGCCACAAACTGGAAACAACTTTAAGGCACACAACAACAACAACAACAACAACAACATTTGGAAGATTTTACCAATTACAAAGTTTTAGGAGCTCATTAATATTTTTATATAGGACCTTCTCTTTTCCACTAGGTCATTTCTCTGATGCTGCCCATTTGCAACTGCAGAAAGACTCCTAAGATGCTAGTTATCCAGACTTTCTGCACGAGACATCTTCTATTTTTCTCTCATTTTAAGATCCCTTTAAGTGATGCCATCTCTGAACGCCCCAAAATGGTAGCCAAGACCTTGGTAGACAAATGAATTCTGAATTATTATGACACATTGGTTTCTCTCTGTGAAGGGGAGGCCAACTGAAATGCAAACTTGTTGAAACAATGCCATGGAAGGATCCGTCTCCCCAAGCGAGAGAGAGAGAAAAAGAGAGACAGAGAGAGGCACGTACCATGGCAACATCCGGAAATCCCCGGAGTAGTCCTCGTATTTGTAGTTCACGACTTTCCAGTCTGAGCTGTAGCTTTTGATGCACTGAAAAGGAAATTAAAATGCAGCTCTGGAAGGAAGCCACTGTTGCCTTGAGTTTGCAAGACCTGATCAGGGCTGCTAATAACAGCATCTTTTGGAGATCTCTCATCCAAAGGAATAATAATAAATAATATAATAATAAAATTTATTTATACCCCGCCCATTGGTAATCCAATCCGGGCGGCTTACAGTTAAAACACACATTTCAGAATAAAGCATACAATATAACAAACCCCTCCCCCCCTTAAAACAGAATTAAATCAGAACAGTATAAAATAAATAACAACTCTTCCCATTGATATTCCCTGGCTAAAAACTTTTCATAAAGCCAGCATGGCATCATGGTTTGAATGTTGGAATAGGACTCTAGAGAGCAGGGTTCGAATCGCCGCTTGTCCATGGAAACCCACTGGGTGACCTTGAGCAAGTCACACTCTCTCAGCTTCTGAGAATGGCAATGGCAAACCCCCTCTGAACAAATCTTGCCAGGAAAACCCCATGATAGAGTCACATCATAAGCCAGAAACGACTTGAAGGCACACGGCGGCAACAACAAACTTCCACACTACACAGGATTTCAAACTGTGAGATACAAATTTTGCAAATTCACGAATGCATAAATGCAAAATTGGATAGAGAAAACCTGTGCGTTGCATCCTCTATATTTTACGCCATTTCATCTTTATCCTTCAAAGTCTATCTTAGCTCAATGGGAACTTTCCAGGTATGCATTTAATCCCTGGCAGGTCTGGAAACCTTTAAAGCCACTGCCAGTCAAAGGAGACCAGGGATGAGTAAACTGTGGCTCTCTGGATGTTGCTGGACTTCATCTCCCATCAGCCCTTGCTCAGCATTTTCCAAGGATGAGGGATGCTGGGAGTTGCAACCCAAAAATGTTTGGAGGAATACATAATTCCCAAGGGAAAAAGGGGAGAGGGAAACTAGCCATTCCTTGAATACCACAAGCAGGAAGGTTATTACCTCTTGGACAAAGAGACTCTGTGCCTTTTTCAGAGCATCTTCTGGCACAGTCGACTGGACCGTTCGTCTCTGGCGGTGAACGACCGAGACCTGGAAGGGGAGAGAAAACAACCAAAATATTACAAAACTTGGCTGTCAAGTCCTGAAAGGATTCAGCACTGAGCCACCCTGGTTCTGGAAATCAAAACAAATATCTCATCTTCATCTTCAGATCAAAGCAGATATCTCATCTTCATCTTCAAAACAAATCAAATCAATAATCAATAATCATCCCAATCACTTCTGGACCCAAGCATTTCAGATGAGGGAGTCTCAACCTGTAATTAACTGATTACTTTTCTAGGCTCTAAAGGGATCTCTCCATTTAAATGAAGCTCCAGAAATCAGCACAAAGAAGGTGGGAGGAGAAAGAAAAAGAAAAAGAGAGAAGCCATATGGCGGAAATGCTATGCGCCGATCTTCAAATCAAAGCAGATATCTCATCTTCATCTTCAAATCAAAGCAAATATCTCATCCTCATCTTCAAATCAAATTAAACATCTCATCT